GGGTGAGACTGTGCCGTCCTCCGCCCTCTCTCGGCTGCCCCCGCCCCCTCCAGCTGCTCCTCCGCAGGGTGCCCGAGCCCCCCCGGTCGCCCCAAGTGCGCCACGGGCTCCCCGGGCCATGCACTACCAGGCCGAGATGCGGCAGCTGAAAGCAGCCAAGCGGGGAGGGGGGCTTTTGGCGGGGAGGCAGGGGCAGTTTGGCGCCCCTAAGGGCCGGCGCGCTCTAGGCGAACACCTAGTTTGCCTAGTGAGCGAGCCGGCCCTGTGGGGGATACACTTCTGGATAGCAGTGTGTGCAAACAAGATCATGGGGTACGGGGAGCCCCTGTAAGTTAAATCTGATGCAGTGACAAAAAGGCTAATGGGATCTTGGGGTGTATCAGCAGAGGCATAACATCCAAATCACAAGATATCATACTCCCTCTGTACATTGCATTGGTCAGGCCGCACCTGTAGTATTGCGTGCAGTTCTGGAGGCCTCATTTCAAAAAGGATGTGGACAGAACGGAGCGGGTGCAGAAGAGACCGACAAGGATGATTGGGGGCCTGGAGACCAAGCCCTGTAAGGAAAGGCTGAGGGATTTGGGAATGTTCAGTCTGGAGAAGAGGAGGTTGAGGGGGGACATGATGACTCTCTTTAAGTATTTGAAGGGCTGCCACTTAGAGGAGGGCAGGGAAGTGTTCCTGTTGGCAGCAGAGGATAATAATGGGTTTAAACTAAGGGGGGGATATGAGGAAAACCTTTTTTTTACAGTAAGAGTTGTGCAACAGTAGAATCAGCTGCCTAGGGAGGTGGTGAGCTCCCCCTCATTGGCCGTCACTGGCAGTCTTTAAGCAGGGGCTGGACAAACCCTTGTCAGGGATGCTCTAGGCTGAGCCTGCATTGAGCAGGAGGTTGGTCTAGATGGCCTCTATGGCCCCTTCCAACTCTATGATTCTATGAATTGGGTATGCCAAGGGAACCTGTACTTCATTGGGAGGGGGGAATGTAGGAGCAGAAGCGAGCATCTTCTGGAAGAAGCAAAGACCAGCTTTCTCTGAAAGACTCCTGTGAAGACCTTTGTTTGGCCAAGAGAGACCACCTGACTGCATGGGGCAGAAGACTATAACTGGAGCTATAGGCTCGTAAGGGATATGTTTTGCTATGGCTGACTGCTATGGATAGAATGCCGCTATGCTAGTGGGCCTCATTGCTTGGATTTTTATGCTGCATTATCTTCTAACACGCCCAGGAGGCTTCTCATCGGTAACACAGGTATGCAGTATATTAGGTAGACATTGGTCCCTGCCTCACGAGGGAAAAAAAGGACGGGCTATGTGCGGCTTTTAAAAGCTGCACCAAAATAGGC